CCCCCCGCCCCTCCAGGGGGCGCACCCCACAGTTTGGGAACCACTGGAACAAGCCTCAAAATGAACTCTATCTTTGCTATCATGGGTGCTGATTCAGAGCAAGTCTGAAAATATAAGACAAAATTATCTTTTTTTATTATTATTGTTTGGCAACCTGACTGTTGTATGCTCCCTCAATTAACCTTTTGTTGCTCCATCATTAACTTTGTCTACCAATCAGCTATTACACAGAGTGAATATGCGTAAGACAGAAGATAGTTTTTAAAATCAGTGATTTTAAAAAACTATTTCTTAAAATCTTTTATGTGCGGTGCCTTGAAGTGCCATTACCTCTTGAACTTTTCCACATTTCTTCCCTTTAGAAGCACAAAGTTCAGTGTGCATCATCCTCAACATAGTCCACATCCTAAAACATGGTGGTGGAGCTACGCCAACCGGGGTGTGTGATAGGAAAGCTGATCAGCACTAAAGAGAAGATGAATAGAGTTAAATGAAGGAAAAACCTTGAAGAAAACCTGTTAGAGGCTGCAAAGACTTTTAGTTGTACAACAAAAGGTGGTTCAACAATGTAATGAGTCGAGGTGCTGAATTATAATTAATGTGTAACATCTTCTTCTACCTCACAATCATGCAGCGCATTCTGTTAATCTGTCATATAAAATTAACTAAAGGGGTTTTGCAAAGCAGTGGAGCTCTTCACATAAACTCTGCCAACATATTTTATGTTCCTGTCTGTGCTTCAGGCAAACCTGTGCTTTTCCTTACAGGTACTATGAAACGGGCAGCATCCGCCCTGGGGTAATCGGGGGATCCAAACCAAAGGTTGCTACACCCAAAGTGGTCGACAAGATCGCCGATTACAAACGCCAAAATCCCACCATGTTTGCCTGGGAGATCCGGGACAGGCTCCTGGCCGAGAGAGTGTGCGACAACGACAGCGTTCCCAGCGTCAGCTCCATCAACAGGTGCCACAGTCTGTGCAATGTGTGGGTCTGGGTATCAAACTGTAACAGCAGATTGTAGACGAAGCACGGAACAACATGAATGTTGTGTGTTTTATCTGTGTATCTTTTTCGGTGTGGGAGTGGAAGAGGGGGATTGCAAAGAGGGCCCCCAGCCTCCATATGTATGAAGTAGCCGCAGCTCAGTGGTTCTACACGATGCTACAATGACAACCCCTTTCCCCTGAGTGCACAGAGGGAGCGACAGAGGGAGGGATGGGGAAATAAGAGAAAGAACAAGTGAGCCAAAAAGGCAGACAAAGAGAAAAGGAAGGTGAAACAGATATAAAAGGGAAGAATAGGGAAAATGGAGGAAAGGAAATGAGAGGAGAGGAAAAGGGGAGGAAAGGATGAAGAAGAAAAGAGGAAGAAAAGGCTTGCATGATCAACCAAGCAGGAAGTGTGAGGCCCCTCTGCCATGTCAGCCTGCCTAAGCCACTTCACACACACACACACATACACACGCAAACACACACAGCTTTGCTCCCACGATGGTCATGTTCTCTCTGTCACTCAGGATCTCTCAAACAAGCCACTTCATACACACTAATATCTCCTCTCTTCTTCTGCAGGATCATACGGACTAAGGTTCAGCAGCAGCCTGGTCAAACGGGCTCGGTGTCGGCTCACAGCTTAGGTACGTTCCTCCATCACATTCTGGTTCCTTTAGCACTGAGATGTCGGCTGAGATGGCAGAAAGCAGAGACTCCAAATATATCAGCTTAGCAAAATGTCATCATTATTAGGGACGCAACTAGAAACGCAAAGACTTTTTTAATGACCATAGGAATGGGTTTAAATTATTTTGGTGTTGTTAAGAGACACCTGAGCAAGTCAAGATATCTTCCTCAGCAGAAAAGTTAACTCTGAGTCTTACTGGAGGAGTAAAGGTAAAAGTTAATCATGCTGTTAACACCTTTGTCTCCTTGTTTGCAGTACTAGTATATCATACTCTCAACATGAAATAAAACAGAAATATCCTTTATTGTAAGGGAAAATGTCTGTAAGAAGAGTTTGCTGTAGTGCTATTCATAAGAAACATGAAATTTCAGACAACTTTTCATGAGCTGCAGTGAAATTTCCTGATTCTTGGATTTGCTTCAAACTTGCCTATTTTATGAAGATATTTTGTGATAAACGCAAAGCATGATAATTAAGGAACACAAACCTGAAAATATTGCATACCTTTGTATTCAGCCTCCCAGAGTTAATACCCTGCAGACTTTGGTCTTTGACAGAAAGCTCAAACTCACTCAGACTGGATGGATGCCATCCATGAATATCAATTTGGAAGAAGTGCTGCAGTAGATTCTCAATTGGATTTATTTGCTCTGGCTGCAAGTATGAAGTCGTTGCCCATGTCAGGCTCAAGTCTTCTGCAGCCTCTAATCGGTTTTCCTGGCCCTATCCAAAGAAAAAGCGTCCTCACAGCGTGAAGTACAACCACCACGTTTCACCCTGGAGATGGTGTAATTACTGTGTTTATTTTGCCCCAGAGCATTTTGCATGTCGGCCAGTAGATTTAACTGTAGCACCTTCTTACACGTGTTTGCATCTTGGTAGCTTTGTGCTTGTGTAATTCTGGAGGATGAATCGAACAGATCTCAGCGAGATGTTCAAGGTGCAGGAAGTTTTATAAACTAACATGAAAGCTTTTGGTTGTTATAGAAGAAAATGTGGACAAACTCAAGAGGCACTTACTTGTGCAAGGTTCTGCATGTTCGATTGTGTCACAATAACATACAAGTAACATGTAGAAAAACAATTAGATAAACAAGATGTTGAAGTTCACTGCTTCTACCCTGAATCTGCCACTTAGAGGCCCCATTAGAATAAAACAGACTAAAACAGAATTGACTTTATTGTGCCACAATGGGAAAATTTATGTGCAAATGCAACAAAGTAAAAGGCAATCAAAGCATGTAGATTCACACAAAAATGAAACGCATAAAAGAATAAGGAATAAAAATACTGTTCAGTAAGGGAAATTTTCATTGTGCAGTTATTAAAAAATAGCTACTCTGGTTCAAAGAAATGAAGAAGTGGGTAGGTTAATTTAAAAAATGTAAAAAATGTGCAGGTCTACAGATTTTTTAAATGTTGTTGAAAGTGATTAAAGAGAGTGCAGGTAGCAGCATTTATAGGAACATTGATGAGTTTGTTTGGAGCAGCGATGGTTATACAGTCGAACAGCTGCTGGGAGGAAGGATCTACAATAGCACTCCTTTGTGCACCAAGGATGCAGCAGTCTGTCACTGGAGGAGCTCTCCATTCAGCAGCAGCTTCATGCATGGGGTGGCAGACATTGCCCATCAGTGATGCTATTTTAACTAGAGTCTTTCTGTCTCCCACCACCTGCACTGGGTCGACCATGGAGGAAAAAATGTTATGAAGAAACAAAAATGCATTCAGCGAGTTTCTTATTTGAGGATCCACATTCCTTGTTATATTTGAATAATCTTTTATCTGTGAACCAAAGCCTTTTACTCCCACATAGGAAATATACTATAACTTCCTTTTACTCCATGAGTATCTCAGAGGACAAATACTGTCCCTCACTTTCCCTGCAGTGGATTGCGCCTTGCTGTCTTTTTGTATCTTCATGATCACACATTGTCTAGTAATCTAAATTAATTTTCACACACTGCTCCCTGACTCCCGCCTTATACTCGCATTTATCAGATCCGCCCTCATACATACACACCCAGATATAACGCAGTGCGCGCTCTCTTTTCCACACGCACGCTTACAGATTACACAGATAAATGGCTCCCACTCCCAGGCGGAAAATTGAACATTTGGATTTGCAGAATAAGAGTGTTACGTTCTGATAAAAAAAAAAGAAGAGTGAAAAGAAAGAGAAAGGAAAATCAGATAATTGAAGTGCTAAATCAAGTGATGGGAAAAGAGGGGATATGCATTCATTATACTCTCCTTGTCGTTAGCAAAAAGAGTAACGGCTTGAGGGGACTCTGATCCCGTGGTTCGTCTTGTTTTTTCTTTTTTTTTTCTTACTCTCTTTTTGGTCTCGTCTGTCTGTGATTTGGGGGGTGAAGGGGTCTATTGGGAGAGAGGATTAGGATGTCTGTTGCCACACCTTTCTGTCCCTCCTGGGATACCATACTGTCACTCAGCCCGATATCCGCCAGCAGATAAGGGACCTGAGAGTGACTGACTGCATGTTGCAGTTTGTGGATGTGTGTCAGGAGGTTACGCAGTGTGTGTGTCACCAAAACGCCGACAACTGTGTCACCCATCAAGAAACTTGTCTCCTCCAGGGGGAAGCTCAGAGGAGGAGACAATAAGGAGCAAGACTCCAGTACAGACATTTTGTTGCACATTTTTCTTCCTGGTGAAGTTGTGGTTGAGTTTAACTCCAGGGGAACCGAGGTGAATTTGACTTTGCAAAGAGAAAAAATCTAATACACGTGTACAAAGTTTGGGCTCAGTGTAACATACAGTGTTAATATCGGGACTGTTGGATAAAATCGGTGGAACAAATTCAGTCCAACTTTAGTTTGAGAGCTTTTCTTCTGTGGAGAAAAATGTCCACAAAAAGACAATTTTTGTGATTTATGATGCATCCTTTATTAACCCACAATGCAATCTGTCTGCAGCGACGTCTGTAGCTGCCACGCAGGTTTCAGCGGTCACCAGCGACTCTGCTGGCTCATCGTACTCAATCAGTGGCATCCTGGGAATCAGTTCTGCTGCTGATGTGGGCAAGAGGAAGAGGGATGAAGGTACGTAGTTATCCTGCATGTTCCTAAATCTTTGCATTTTTCCAATCAAATTGACATTTCAACTGTACACATTGGAAATAACAGGTAAAGTGCTGGTGAAACCTGGAAAATCTCCTCCACTGAAAAACATAAATATCAATGACTATTATGTGAGTGCGTGCATATATGAAGTCTGGGAGCTGTAAACCAAACATCTTGAATGAGAATCCCGTGTTTGTTTACCAACTGCGCTCCACTGGAGGCCCACCTGAGAAGTAATATTAATGCATGCTCTATTGATCATATGTGCTGTCATACTGGATCAATGTTGCATGCTAATGTGATTGTGAACCTCTCTCTGTGTGTGTGTGTGTGTGTAGTGGATGTGCGTGTGATTATGAGTGTGTATGTGGTAGAATCAGTGGCATTAAAAAGCCATCACACAGACAGTCTCCTGCGGTAAATGAGACAGCACCAGATGTTGGAGTGAAGTAGGGTGACAGAATGCCACCAGGGGCTATTTCTCTCTCTTTCTCTCTCCCTCTCTTACTCGTTTGGTGTCTCTTTCTCTTCACAAGCACAAGCACACACACACACACACACACACACACACACACACACACACACACACACACACACACACACATCGTATGGGTGCATTTTCCCACCCCTGATGAATTTTGAAATCGTTTCAGCCGGATACAGGTGAATCCCAGATGAACCATGATGTGCTCGATATTGCCTGCTTACCCATCAGTGGATTACAAAGTCCTAAACTCCCCCAAATCTGAGCTTTTGATCCAAACACAAATCAGGATGAGAATTCAGCTGCATTTATGTTATCAAGTTCACCCACTTCCTACCAAGTTAACATATAAATGCAAACACCACAACTTCTTACAAACTGAGACAGATAAGTCATGAGAGAACTCGTGGTTCTAAATACTGGTTAGCTCAACATTTTCTGATGCATTTTTGAAAACGATAAAACAACTAAACAATTCTAATTTTGGCACCACAATACTCAAATCATTGTCCACATTTATGGATGTCTTTTCTCAGCTTTCATTAAACAATCTGGGGGCTTGTCCAAGTTGTACCAGAAAACACAAAACCGTCAATTTTGCAGCTGCACTCACATCATTTTATGGAACCAACATCAATTTCATATTTTTCTTTATCCAAAATTTTTCTAAATAGCACAGCAAGCAAAAGAAACTCAAGAACAGAATAGAACCTAATGGGCATCTGTGAGACTGGAAAGGGATACAAAACTGTTTGGTCTCACAAGAGTCGTAGTGGGAGCCACTATCTACTGAAATTACCCCAAGACACATTGACAATTCTCCCAGTAAAAACCCAAACAGAACATCTAAAGCATTATTGCCTTAAGGTCGCATTTTATGATCCAGGAATAAAAGAGAAACAGGGATAAACATGGCTGAGGAGAGATTTGAAACATATATTCATCTTGTTACATCTGGCGTAAAATTAACAGCATTTTAGATGAAGAACAATCAAACATGATGTTGGCACTGCGATGACCTGGGACTGCTTTGCTGCTTTAGGACGTTGAAAACTTGCAGTAACCAATGAAATAGTTGACAGAAAAGAAGGCCGTCATTAATTTTTTTTTTTAACAAAACGTTCCCTGTATTAGTGAAAAACTCTGATATAATATTTTTTTGGCTACTTTTGACTAAATAACTAATTAACTTTTAACCAGCTTGCACTGACCTGAATTCTTTTTTTTCCAACATAACCATACTTAGTAAATGAAAACAAAACATTGTATCATTTCATATTTCACTGAGGTGGTCAGAAAGCCTCACGTCGACCTGATTTTGCCTACCGTCACGTTTTGGGGCAGCGTTTTATCTGCAGCGTTTCTATGGCAGAGGTCTGCGGGGTTGGCTCTGTGGTCTAATTAACAGCATTGCTAATCACAGCTTCCATTAGAGCAGCCCCCGCTGGATAATGACACACACACACAGCAAGGGGCGACAGCAGGAACAGCATGCGCTGACATGGACAGACAAACACGTACACACTGACAAACAATGCAGCACGCGTCTCACATACACGCACGCCCATATGTTTGTCGGAGTTGACATTCGCGCACATATACTGCAGGTCATGTAGAGATGAGCCCAACAATCTCGTTGTTCCTTTGTCGGCTTTGTTAAAATGACTGTTTAATTAAAAAAAGGTGAATATTTTACACAGTGCGGTAGGAGTTAAAGTGGAGAACGGTGGCGTTTGTTGAAGTCAGAGAGAAAGGATGATAGAAACATGTGAAGGTGGATGGAACAATTTTTGAGGAAATATAATTTGCGATGTGGATGTGTGGAGCTGCTAACGTTATGAAAATACATTTAAATAAAGGATTACACATTTATCTGCAACTAATTTATAACTGTTTACATGTGTTTTTAGACATTTGTTTCTATGGTTTTACTTAGCTCAATTGAAATGGCATATCATAAATGTATACAATACAAATATGTCTAATTTATTACATAATTCATTTTTTTTCAATTGTTTTGCTCTATTTGTGTATTGGTATTGAGGTTTCTCTTGAAAATCCATATTTGCATAAAAGTCACAGAGCTTCTGCTCTCTGTACAGGAGCTCTGCCTCAAAAGTGTAAACCTTTTCTTATGGATTTCCATCTTTTATGTACAGAGAAAGAGAGTTCCATACTTTAACAGGGAAGTTTTTCTCAAAACCTTGTCTTACCAAACGTTTGACAGTCTAGTTAGACCTCAAATGTATGTGAAATTTGTCAGTTTTCTTGATCTCTCATTTATTTCCATAATTTTTTGGCCAATAATGTCACTATGACAACTCAAAATACTGCTAAAGGTAGCGACAAACATCCCAACCAAAGGATTAGATGGTTTGGTTTCACCCCTCAGTTCAGACGACATATTTTCATTAAAGAATAACAAATAAAGAACCCAATTTAGAGATGAAGAGTAATATAAGCCTGCATTCACTACTATGACACTGATGGGAGGAAATTACATCATACCGTAGCATAAGGACTATTTTTATTTCCAGAACAGTAACATTAGCATTCAAACAGCAGCTGTGCAAGTGGTGGGAACACATGAAGGTGGAATCAGCAGCCTGTATTTGTGTGTGTGTGTGTTTGTGTTTTGGTGGGAGGAGTGTGTGGGGGTAAAACCCTGTGGTGACCTGTGCCCTCTAGCCAAAGCGAGGGGAAGTAGAGGGTGACTGAGAGCAGAATGGATTTGAATGGGAGTGAATGGAGGAACTTGACTTGTGGGGCCAAAAGGGGACCATTGTACCTTAACCTATTCTTGTTGCACGTTAAGGCTGCTTGTGTGCACACACGTGTGTGAATGTGTGCGAGTGTGTCCCTGTGGATTCAACATGGACATGAGCTCCAGAACAGGTGGATCGATTACTGCAGGGTGGATGTTTTATTTTTATTTCAACCTATTTTTGTCCTATTTGAAGGAAAGTCATACGACACACAGCTCCAAAGGCGGTTTTTTTTTTTTTTGTGTGTGTGTGTGTGTGAAGCAGAACTTGATTCATTGGCACTTACCCAGAATGCCACATTGACCTCTTACCCCCTTGTGCATCCACTGTGACATGCAGCAGCTTACCGAATGAAAGAAACTTGGAGTGAGAAAAAGATATGGAGGATGGCGGAAAGCAGGAAGGGGGGAGATCCGTCCCCTTCAACCGTGGCTCCGCTCAGCACCTCCCAAAACTTTGATCTTTTGACACACACACACACACACACATACACAACCACACACAAGTTTAGCTACAAGCTTCAGTTGTTAGGTCAGACACTTCTCCTGCTGAGATAATCTACAGTATGTCAACTTTAATAAGATTCACACAGGTAATATCCCACCCTCAGTAGGCACACACTGGCACACTGAATAGCTGACAACTTTAATTCTTCCATGTTTTAGGATTTAATCATCCAAACTGCTTGTGGGGTTGCTTTAAAAAAAGAAAGTCAAAGGCAGGCTGAGCCGTCGTCGGAGAGGAAGACAGAAGAGGCGGAGGGGAGAGGGGAAAGGCAGAAAGAAGGGAACAATGAAGGTTCATTGTTTGTTTTGTTCTGCTCTGAAAAAGAGGGAAGAGAAACGCTTCCCTTCTGAGACCAAATCACAGAGATCGAGGCAGCTGTGTGTGCGTGTGTGTGTGTGTCTGACAGTGAATAGGATTTAACCCGTCACGGCAATGAGTTTCTTTACCCATCCATGGATACAATGAGGGCCGGATATCAAGCTACCCACCCACAAACACACCTACATCAACGCCAAGAAGCATCCATACGCATTCACACACATGAATGGACAATATTGATTATGACAAGTGAAAGCTTTGTTCTTTCTGCTCAACTACAGTAACTCCTCTTCATTCTGTCGTTCTGCAGTCGTTTGAGGGTATGCTACAGTGGCGAGCTTAGGTCAGTGTTTCGGAGTGGACTTGTGTGTGTGTATGTGTGTGTGTTAGAGAGAAAGCAGAAAGCAATAAGCTGGCTGAAATGGTGCCATCAGAGCTACATGATTGATCAATTGAATTCCATCACAGCGACTGGCCAGTGGGATTAAATGGGTTGCTGTGGGTTACCAGGCTAAAGCATCATACCGCCTTTATCTGTCTCCTGATTGGTCTGCCATCGGAGACCTGGACCACGCTCCCAGCACCTGTGTATGAGTGTGAGTGTGACGAGACTACAAGAGTAAAAGAGAGATTAGGATCGAGGTGTTTGTTGGTGAGAGAACTGCTGAAAGAGGGTTTGTGTGCTGAAAAAAGTGTTTGTCAACTCTGTGAATGTGACGTATAGATGCTGTCTGGAGATATGAGGTGTAGACGAAGTCTTTAAAATAAACTCAAACCAGCAGCTGTTCCAGGACTACTTCACAATTTGAACAAGGCTGAACGTTAGTCTACAAAGGCAGATTGAACATTTATTAAGATCACCGTTGTCCTTATGCTGTGTTCTGTCTGTTTTTCAAAGCTGGATTTTCCATGTTCTGAGTTAGAAATACAACAACAAGTCAGAACTCCAGTGTGGAAAGTTGTTGTTCTCCAAGTTACACTTGTAGAAAAATTACATTTTCCATAATTTTGATTGAAAACTGAACTTAATTGTGAATATGAACATTAAGGTAAGAAAAATGGCTACATGCTAAATGGCTGATAATAGCTTCACCACCCAATATTAGTATGGAGAGAAAAGTTCTTGATGTAATCCTCATGGGTTGTGTAGCTCTTTGCCGTTTCATATTTTTTTAAGGTTTGTTTGTACAGAAATAATATGTCATGGATTGTACGCAGTTTGACAAATGATGATTTTAACGCACTCATAATTTACTCATAGTTTACCATCAGGAAATGTGGGCTTGTTCTGTCTCAGTCATTCTGCCGTATGGACAATTTTGGCCCCGACCTCCAAATACGTGCAGAGTATATCATCATGTGAAAGTCCAAAGGTCAGAAATCATCTGGATTTTAATTTTTAACACAAAAACTGAAGAGATTATATTCAGTTTATTAGAAAAATATATTTACTTTTGATTTTGAGCCTATTTAGCAATCAAACAGCATTTCAGCATGAGCTTTCTTTCTACTTTATTTGTCCATTTTTTTTTCTTTGGTTTTTATCTCTACATCTCTCTCCTTCTCCAGAACCAAAGCCTTTCCCCAAATGAATCCGTATTTTCTGTCCAAATAGAAAAAAAAAAAAAAAAAATAGAAATTTGAAGTCTCGTAGCTCTTTTCAACCTGTCTGTCATATCACATCACTACCCAGGACACACATACACACTCCCTGACACACATCAAACACACTGTGACCCCCAGGACTAAAATAGGCTCTCAGGAGCAGTTTGGAGCAATGAATTGGCTCTATAGCAGGGGATTTTCACCCTCATCCCCTTTTTCTCTTTATCTTTTTCTCTCGTTCTCTCTTTTCTAATCATTTGTGGGCTGCGACTCCTCAGAGTTCTTATAATTGTCTCGTTCAGTCCCTCAGCCGAGCAATAACTGCAGGATACAAGAGCTCACAGTCTAATACTGATACCGAAGCCATATATATTTGTGTGTACGTGTGTGTATGGGCGATGCGACGAGCGGGAGGGAGGATTGTGTTTATAAGAGAGGAGAGGGTGTACTTCTGAGAGATCAAGAAGGAGAGGCAGCGTATGCCAGGTAATGGATTGCATTTGTATGCGATTTTCTTCTGAGTCTCCACAATCTATGAAGTCTTTCAATCCTGAATCAGTTCACCGGACTTTCTTTCAGACAGCTAACTTTTTTCCCCGTATCCATCTCAGACACATTACGTCTAGTCACCTTTTTCATTTCCCCACCTTCTTTATTCTGCGTCCTCTTAACATTTTCCAGCTGCAACCTTTCTAATGTCACTCCTACCTGGTGTCCCCTCTTTGCAGTTTTACAGGAGTCACCGCTGGCTAACGGGCATGGCCACAGTGGGCGGGACTTCCTCAGGAAGCAGATGAGAGGGGAGCTGTTCTCGCCGCAGCAGATTGAGGTATTGGACCGCCTCTTTGACAGACAGCCGTCTTGTCCAATCCAAACCACCACTGAGCTCTATGTGAGCCCTGACTCTGGCAAGGTAAGGGCAAGGCATTGTGCAGGCTCTGGCTAAGGCCAAAAGGGGCAGGGGTTATATGTCATAGATTAACAGTCATCACTTGTCATACAGAAAGTTTGAAACATTTATGTTTGGTTAATTATTTCGTTGTAACAATGCGTCGTGGTAACAAATCCTATACCGTGGAAAAATATGTTTATTTCTCCTTAAAAGGTGCCACAACTGTAAGGAAAAAAAAATACATTTGTGAATTGAGCAGCAGAGTTAAATGGGTGAATGACTGATTGCAGTCCTCTGGACTTGACAAGGCACAATACAACTACAGGCCATTTACCATTTTACACATCACACCTTTTGGAACTTTACTGTAAAGAATGAAATGTGAATAATGTTCCTTCTACTTCACAATTATCCCCTATTTTGTGTCAAAAATATATTGATGTTTTTGGTAGTAACATGGCAAAATGTGACAAAGATATAAATCGACTTGCAAAGACTTGTTGATATTAGTGGTGTCCATCTTGAATTTCTGATGCTGTCACGCTGAAACATGCTGACTAACATTTGAAGCTGCTGATGCAAACCTTGCAAGCTAACAGAGGGATCTCTGCTTACAGCTAAAAAAAAAAGCCTGCCTGCTCTGCCTTGCCATGCCATGCCAATGTTGACCAAAATCGCACAATCTCTGCATATGCTTTTAATTTCTTACAGCTCAATCACTGGGTGTTTGGAGAATGTGTAAATGAACTTTTGTTTTCTGTTTCTGTGTGGATTCCTGCGGTCTGATGGACACTGCCGAGACGCAGTGAGGGTAGTTTATCGACATTCAGTTAATCTAGACACACTGCAGGGGTTAATGAGCGTATCGACCCAGCTTTCATTATGACCTCACTTCCTGCTGCTTCCAGGACGGTGATGGAAATGGGGCATCCGGCATGCTGATGCACACTGGGGATGAACTGCATATCTGCGTGCATGGTAGAGACAGGAGACGAGAGAGGGTGTGTCTGTGTCTCTTAATGCTGCATCTAAATTGACCTCCCGCCCTTTTCCGGCAGTGAATTAATGTAAATCTGAGCGGAATAGACAGGTGTAAGTAGTACTTTGCATAACAAAATGTGAGCACGCTAGCATTTGTATTCCGTCTGCCTTTTTCACATGTCTTCTAATGTGCAGCCCTGCTCTCAGCATTAGGGAAATGTTTTGGACCTTGTCTCAAAATGACAATTTTCCTCTACAGTTTTTATTTTTTTTCTTCAGGAAAAGACTTTTCAAGTTTATTTATACAGCCAGTGTCAAGTACATGAACCCAGACAGAGAAGTTTTAGTAAAACAGGTTATAGCCTTAGACCTACAGGGCAGAGTTGGACTTTTTAACCCATTCACTCCCATTTGACCAACATGAGGAGGGTGGCGGGTCGGGGCAAGAGGTCGACAGGTATTGGTTGGAGTAGCTCTATAGACTGAGATCTGACATCATAAATACCCATGATTCCTAGGTCAGTGTCCTCTCTGAGCCACTGAGGTCAGGGTTTGGAACGAGTCCCTTTAAAATCTGTGTTACACTGGGGTCAAACTGGCTTTAGGTTGCACAACATCACAAAGAAATCCAGGCATCTACTCATGCCCATCCCCCGTTTTTCCTGGAGAGGGTGATTGACAGTCACACCCACTGACAGCTACAGCTTAGCCTCTCTGGTATGTGAGCTAAGGTGTGTGTATTAATATGTGTGTGTGTGTGTGTGTGTGTGTGTGTGTGTGTGAACCAGTGGTGGTGGGGTTTTGGTCAAGTAGGGTCAGACTGCGTTGAGACTGACAGCTTTAAATGCACTTTCCTCTAACGGTGATGACGTGTGCAGGGGAGTCAGCGGATGTGCATGTAAGGAAGAAAGGAAACAGAGAACCAAGTGGAGAAATAAAAAAAAAAAAGGAACCACTTTTACAACATGGACATTTTGATTTCAGTTCATGTATTTCAATATTTCTGCCTCAGAAGAAGTAATTTTTCCACAGCTGAAGAGCCTAAACTTATGTCAAATGCAATTTGAACCATCAGCCTCAGCTACTCTTCTAACTTGTTTATTTTGTTTTAGAATTTTACTCCATTGTTTTATCTCATCTCCCAGTGCTGCTCTTACTCCCCGCTGCCTGTAGTCTATTAAGCTGCGCTGATAATTTATGTGTGCATGTTTGCATGTGTGTCTGTCTGCAAGTGCGCCTGTCAGGGAGAGTTCATTTGAATTTCCCTTCTATCACTTCTTATTACTCAGCTGATAAGTCAGGCGGGCTGACTGCGCCCTCACCCGTTTCGGCAACCCCGGGTCCAAATGCCCCCCTCTGCACTCACCAGCACAGTTTGATCGTTTTCCAGCCTGAAAATCAATGAAAGATAGAAAAGGTTTACACCTCTAGTCTACGTTTGGATGTAAACCAAAACCTGCTGCAGTGTGAAAGAATAAACCAAGATAGCAAGGATGGTTGTCACGTGTGGTCATCTCCTTCTGGTACCCATCTAGGAGTACATCGTCTGATTCTGGTGGAGTTAACTAAATGTTGAGAACTCAAAGAACTCTCAACTCAAAGAACTTCCACTTGCTTACAAATACGCCACACTCTCCCTTCAAACTGTGTTTGCAATGCTAAGTTTGTTCTTCTGGTATCGTTTCCTCCAAAGGTTGAACCTGCTCAAAACGGCTAAAGCCAGAGGATCAAGAAAACATTTTCATAGAAGTTGAAACTATTTTAACAGGAAAGTTGAATCTTTTTTCAATTTGAACTCTTCATGGCCAGCGAAGCCATCAAAGAGGGAGTTCATTATTTTTCCCATCCATTGTTGTTCTCACAACAACAAATGTGACAATAATTCTTGAATAACAGGCTGTAAATACCATATCATATTGATAGGTAAGAAAAGTAACCCAGACGTTGTATTTGAAGCATTATATCCAGACCGCCTCCCCCTGGAGTTAAGGTCTGTGTGGGTTATCTGTCTGAAAATGAATATCCTCCCCACTGCTGCCACGCTCAGTTTGAGTTCAGATAAATTCTTTCCCCGACAATCCCTGTCTCTGTTTGTGGGCCACTCAGGGAATTGTGTTTGTTTATAGCCAAGCCTTTTCCATCAGGGGTGCACAAGACAATGTGGAGAGGGAAAAGGGGGGTCAGGAGGGAAAGAGGCGTGGGGGGAGAGAAATCAGGATCTATTTGGAGAATGGAGAAAAAGAGAAATACTATTATGCAAATGGTTCAAGCCAGCACGGCTGGCGTCTGTGTGTGTGGTAGGAGACTGTGTGTGTGTGTGTGTGTGTGTGTGTGTGTGTGCGTGTGCGTGTGTGTGTGTGCTTCAGAGGGACGATTAGGACTCATCTGTCATTGATGTGGATTTGGGCTCTGAAACTCCACTTACCACATCTGAGGCAATCTGGTGTATAAAAGGCAAGAAACTCACTGAGAATTCAGCTGCTTTGCTAACGGAGCCTCAGAGTAAAAACCGCCCACATTTTTGAATTAAAGATTTGGTTTAATTACATAGACGTTTTATTTTATGTAATCTTAGTTTGTGCTGTAGAAGCACGATCAGGGGAACTTTGGAAGAAAATCTAATCTGTCACTTGCTTTTTATATTAGGAGATCATTAAATTAAATGCAACTTTATTTTCTGTCCTGTAATTAATTCAGTCAGACATTTATACCTCTACAGTGTATAATAATTAAGTTGTCATCTGACAGAACTAAACTAACAAACCAAAACATGTAATTTTAAACCTAATAAATACTGCATTTCAAGGGTTAACAAATATATGCATGGTTTCATTTCTAAATAAATCTAATTAATCTTTTGTTGAGATTTAGAAGGACATACTGTTTACAGTTCTGACCAACCTATCCCAGAATCAAAAGACTAATGAAGGACATTTTATTTTATTGTGTCTACTTTGCACTTGAATGTCATAGGAAGACATGCTGCGTTCATAAAAAAATGCTTCTGCTTCCCCTTCATTTGATATTTTTTGTATTAGTTTATAGGAGTACTTAGCTTACATTCAGGTACTACAAATATTACCAGTTGTCTCATATAAAATATTATTTATTCACTATATTTCTATTTCTGTTTGTTTCAGTTTCCAGGGAGAAACATTTCAAGATCTCTAGAAAATAAAAGGAGCATCAGTCTAATTCAAGCATACTGCATAGCATTTTAAGAATCAAACTAAAGTATTTATTCCAAAAATGTTTTCTATTAAAAATGAATACATTCAATCATTTCAAAAGAGTGTAAAGTTTTAAGCTAATTGTGTAACCTCATTTAAATTAAATTTAAACAAATGTTTGACACTCGTTCGCAGACCTTTAAACAAACACCTTCAGTCTGATAGTTTTTACAGTCGTAGGAAACTTATGTGGATAATTAAGGCTTACTCATTTAAAGTCATGATGACTCCTAATGTCTGTAAAAGATCTGATTTCTGAGGGCCATAGTTACTACGTACTACATGTGGCATGAACAGACTGATTGCCTTCTGAGCAACAGCAAAGTTTTTGGGCATGTCATAAAATTTGGCACTGCTACAAAATGCACCAAAGTGGTACTTAAATGTAGCAGAAATTAGCTGATGACAACACAGTTTTATCTCATTCTAAACTATGCAGAGGCTCTGTCTGGACTGATGAAAACTAACTTACTCAGACATGCAGAACAGCTGAAGCAGCACCAACAGCAGCTGATCAGACGTGGTCTTATATTAATACAGTTAATAATAATTGATCAATTGGATCAGATATTCTGCAAAATGCACTTTATTTTTTCATGTTTAAAGCGATAAAAAACACTTTTTTAAATCACTATTTTTAGTGCGTTTTACTTTTTCAGGGTACCACTCTATCCAGCATCCATTTCCAAACTTTGCAATTTTGACTATAAAGAATCAACAAGAAAAAAGGGAGATTCTTAAGTGTAGATTTCCCTATAAGACTTTATATGTAATCACCTATAATTGATGAACTAGGTCCAGATTTTCCTGCCATCCTCCCCTTCATCCTGCCTGGTTGTCCAACTCCTCCCCATCACCATTACCAACTCCCCCCCCCCCAAGTACAGCCCCCTCCTCGGCCCCCGCAGCTGCGTCCCTTTTCCTTTGATGAGAGCTGATGGCGCTGTATGAGCGGTGGAATTGACAACATTTACGGGTGCGAATGAGAATGATCCATCTTGCTTAGCGGGCCTGTCACCCCACTGGCCAAACTTCATCATGACCAATTACCACAGCAGACCCTTTCTTCTCGGCTGGTGCTGCTGGCTGGCTCTACACATGGCTACATGGACACATTAGATGCTATTATAATGAGACCTAGCAGCCAAGATTTGGTTGTGTTGGTGCGTGGGGGGTACACAGGGATAGCATCTTTGATTGGTTTAGGAAAAAAAACTGCAGGACCTCTTTCTGACAGGGAAAAAAAGGGGGTGGGGGCTTAAAATGTGCCGGAAGTGTAAAAAGGACCAGAAAGAGAGAGGTGTGTAAGTGTACAGGGTAAGCTCTTATTTGGCAGGTCACAGTCCAGTGGTTGTGCTGTGTGTTGACGAGCACAGGGGTGTTTAAGAGGTCAGTGAGCACAAACAAACGCCTACACTTACACACAGATGCAGACGTATTAAAAGGGTCAGTGCGACACTCTCACCTTATCACCCCCCGCACCCTCCTTCCCACCACCCCTCACACACACACACACCCACACACACACACACACACGCACACACACCTACACACACACACACACACACACACACACGGGAAAAAGGAATGGAAGACATTTGATAAGTCAAAGTAAAATATTTGATAAATAATTGTTTAGTATGTAGCGAGTTTTGCTCCGAGCTTGACTCAGGGAACAGCACAAGCGGTGCTGACGTTTCTTATTGATGCGCTCTATATTCTGATGTTGACATAAGAGGCAATCTAGTTGGTAGATAATTTTGGACAAAATGTGGGTCAACTTAAGAGTTATTCAGTGTTTTTTTCTCAAAACTGGACTAGATTTGGGTGCGGGAATGATCCAAGGACAGTTTTGATGTATGATTTCTGAAACTTTGTGTTTTTTAGCCAGTTACAACAGATAGTCAAATGGTGATCCAGCCATCACCTGGAAACAATATGGATATTACCAACATCCATATTTATTTATAGTGTGGTGACCTCATGGATGGAATTTACAAACAAAATATTGCTAAAAAGGATACCTTTCAATAATAAGAACTTCATTTCCTAATATATTTTTTGCAGTTCTGAGTTAGATCCTGTCTCCCTCTAAAAGTCCATATCATCTCATCACACTACAGAGCATCAAATAAAAGCAAGCATCAAACATAATATTTTGCATAAATGTCGAGGCTGCTTTAGACTTTCTCCGTCATATACAGCAGAGTCATCTGTCCCTCAGTACACTTGAAAAGCAGGGTTACACAGTGGCCTGTATCCAAATGTTTCCATTGTCCCCCACTGAAAGAGCTCATTATTCAAAATGTAGTTCTGATTACATGATGACCTCGCTTGGAAGACTAAATTATTTTAATAACCACTGATAACACTGCATAAAAAACACCATCTACTCTCCCAAAAATCTTGAAATTAGTCACTGCTGTCTAAAAATTACCTTCCCATTATTCTGTTTTCTGTCACGTTAGTAGGTACGCTCATAATTTCATTGTTTCACCTGAAGTCTTTTAAAATGTAGATGTTTGCAAAGACACAGCTTCGCGATTTTCATCCTCTCTTGTTGTAGCAGTGGAAGCTAAATTGCCCTTTAAACAAAGTTAACATTTCAATCTGGAGCTGCAACACATCAATCAGTGAATTCAAAAGAGCCCAGTTGTAGGTATTTCTTCAAAAATTGAAGTTTGACAGATTTTAAGATCTAAAGTTGAAAATGCATTTCATTGTTTGGGGGAAGATCCCAACCCTCATCCATGCATGCCTTTTTTCTAATGTAAGTGGATATTCAAGATGGCAACGCCCAAATTTATGCATGTATATTTAGTTAAGTTTTTTTTAGAATCCAGTGATGCAATTACACAGATGCATATTCAAGCAAAAAGTGCTCATCAATCTTGTGTTTTTGTGTTAGGTTATGAAATAAAAAGGATTCTGAATCAATAGGACATGTTTTCTCCTCTTATTGGATGTTTTAATTAAACAGTAACCCAACAGCTCTGTCATTAATTATTCACATTCCTGAAACTGAAGATATTCTCCACCACATTTTGTGATTTAGAGCCTCTAAACTTTTCCAAGTATCTAAGGTGTAACTCTGAAACCATTCAAATACCTTGTGGAAAGTAATAAAAATCTAAGCCCAAATAAGGTTTCATGGATTTGGGCCCCTGTTTCACTCACTGATTCAATTCTGTGACGCAGCTTGACTTTCTTTGCGGTACCGCAGCAACATAAAGCTTCTCATACTGCCTCAGACTTCACGGCATATCTCACATTCAGATCCACAATGATGGATTCCAAAATGAGAAAAGATGGGAAAATGACCATAAACCCAATTTTTCACAGTTCGTACTATTGATAAATGAGGACCACTGTCTTCTCCTTATTATGTGAAAATGGACGATTCTATAACAAAATATACTCAAGAGAGTCAAATGTTCGTACACTCACACCTAAACCCACTAGGAGACCGGTTATCGGCCCGCCAGGAATGTTCCTGTCCAGACAGTCTCTGGTGTTTAATCTATATATTCTCGGCCATCAGTGTCGCCATCATCTCTCTAAATTACCAGAACCACCCACATATACTCACACACAATGACAGACCTCTCAGAGAGACGAGGATGGATGGGTCATGACTGAAAGCCGGGGTCAAACACAGGTGAGTTGTCAGGCTGCAGTCTGGCCTTTGGGAAGAGCTGGCATGCTGGTTTCTCTGGAAAAAGACAGTTTGTCACCGTTCTAATTATATGGTTATAATGATCCGTCATAAAAAATATGACATAAAAATTTTGCACAAAGTTTATATTTGTTCCGGTTTGCTATAAAATGTACTGCTACATTTGTGGCTCCAACCATAAAGGTCTTTGTACTTTAATATAATTTTCTGTGATAAACCAACACAATGTAGTGCTAAATCTCGGGTGCCCGATTCCAGCCCCGTCCTGCAACTTCTAGACGCACTCCTGCTCCTACACACCTGAATTAAATTAACCACTCATTACCGAGCCTCTGCAGAGCTGAATGTCTCGTCGCTGTTGAGAGAATTAAGCTAAAATGTCATTTGATAAGTTGATAAACAGTTTCAAAATTGTATTTAAATAAAAATGTGCACAATATGTCATCTTGATCCTCTTAATAGACTTTGGTGAAATCAGTTGCCTTTAGGAGTCATCTTATTAATAGATAAAATCCACCTGTGCCAAAACGCCTGTAGTAACTCTACAGGAGTTGCAGAAAAGCAAATGTTACATGGGAGAATTGTTTGACAGAACGAATCACTGATTGTTAACTCTACAAATTTGGTATTAAGGAAGAGTGGCCAGAAATAAACAAGAAGTCCACTTTCATCTTTCCACAAGCCAAGTAGAGGTCACAGAGGAAAAAGGTGAAACGATGCATTATAGTTATATCCTGCAGATATGATGAGGCAGCATCGTACTTCGTTTATGCTTGTAGGTTGACTTGAAGAGTCTAAATACAGGATAATTTTTGAAGAAAACATATTAGAGGTTTTAAAAAACTGAAACTGTAGAAGAACTTCACTTTCCAGAGAAAATTGACCCCAAACACACAGCTAGAATTAGAAGGTAATGGTTTAGTTCAAACAATATTAGAATGGCCCAGTCAAAGTCAAACTTCCATCCAACTGAGAACCTGTAATAAGAGTTAAAACTTGAATTCAGACGCAGATTTATTAGAAAGAAATCTTGAAAACTCCTCTTCTTCTTACTTTATCATGACAATCATTCACCACTTTTTTGTGAACTATTACATAAATAATAATAAAATACCATGAAGTTGGTAATTATAACGTGACAAAACATGAAAAATCTCAAGAAGCATAAACACAGATTTATTAACGTAGCAATGATATAATTGGCATTTAGAATTAAAAGCTTTAGATCTTTTTCACCTATTTCTGAAAATAATTGAGTTTTGTGCTGGAAATATTTCCACTGCTACATCAAGCACATTTTTTTTTGTCACTTAAACCTTTTCCTCCTTGTGTGGTTTTGGGTTTTGTATCTTCCTGTAATGTTCAGAGCATTGGGAGTGTGTGTGTGCGTGTGTGTGTGTGTATTGAGAAGATCGCCATTCTTAGGTTGGTATCTCGGGAGACAAGAGGCTTTGTCTTATAGCCACAGTCTGTGTGTTTGTGTGTGTGTTTAAATATATGTTTGTTGTGTATGTACCGTGTGAGCGCTGGGATGAGAGGGATGAAGAGAAAGTGCGAGCTGATCCTGCGGTTACAGACTGTTGGACTTGGTTGTACAGTAAATCCCTGCCTTTGTAAACAGATCAATAAACTCTCAGCTGTAGGTGTGTTTCTGTACATCAGTGTGTGTGGGTGTGTGTGCTCATAGGAAAAGCTGCTTTGCTCATCGCTGTGAGGAAGGTGTAACATGCAGGATATACTGTGGACATAATAAACAGATTGCTCACAGCTGTATTCCGCACGGGGCACAATCGTGCCTTGATGTTATTTTCAACACAGAGTATCATGATTTGGATTTGCTGTCTAATAAATCTATTTTTCCTTTTCCTTTCTCCTTCCTTCCAGACATCGGACTACTCGGCCATGGCCTCTCTAGCAGGCGGGCTGGACGAGATGAAGAACAGTTTGGCCAATCCGGGCACAGGGACGGAGTTAGGATCCAACGTCTCCGGCCCACAATCCTACCCGCTAGTCCCAGGTGAAAAAAAACAAAAACGCTTAAATTCCTTCAGTGTTCATAACTCAAACTCTTTTATCTGAAACAGAAACTACACATTTCCATAGATTTAACAACTGCACACATAAAGAAGAAGGTAAAGTAAGTCTAACTCTGAAGTTTATTACAGAGTGCAGAGGGACAAACAGTTCTCATAAACTGCACAATGCTTACTGACAGAGTTAGACTGTAACAAGAGCTTTTTTGTATTTACTAAAAAAAAGCTAAAAGTTATCAAGTATCTACTTAATTAATAAACATCAAAACGGAAAACTGTTTAAAGTTGAGGCTTTGAAGAAATTCAAAGTTTCAGAAGCCAATGGACATCCGACGAAGTGAAGGATTAGAACGGTCAATAAAGATTGTGTCGTGTGTCAGATAAGCCTGCTAATTGTCATATATCAACCTGCTCCGTGATTTAGCTCCTCTCTTAGCTGAAGGGTTTGTCACTAAAATAGCCTCTCCTGGTAACGGCTTGTTAGGACATCCAGAAGCTCCTCACAGTGGATTCAGATCCAGCGTCATCCACTCTTTGCAGAAACCTTGCAAAAAATTTGGAAAAACTGACTGTGTAGGGATACTTTACTATAATGAGTAAACACAGCTAAGAGTACTTAATTTAAACTCAAGAAACTAAAAACTAATTTGTAAAAAAATATATATATATATTTTCTGAATCTACTGAGAATATTTTAAATATAAATCCTTTTAATTTTATTTGCTTATTAATAAGTTGTTTTTTTAAAAGCAGCTTTTATTCCTGACTTTCACAAGAAAACTAAGATCATGTCCCTTTCCTACTGCATGTCAAACACTGAATCAATTATTTCTTCTAAAGGAAGTAGTGCTTAACCAACCTCTGGCTGCATATTCATCCAATTCACAGGATAAACCAAAAACTTACCTTAAAACTTTGAAATAGAGTTGAAATAGAGGAAAGGCATAATTATAAACAAAAACACACTGGAGCTAATGCCTTTCTTCTTAGCAGTAGTTTAAACTGCATAATCTAAGTGCTCAAAGCACTGCTTAAAGAGCTCAGTGCTTTGAATGTCAATTAAGTGGAGGAAAGGGATTTAAGGAAAGGTGGAGGAAAAGTGAACACCTCGCTCCCTGCTCTTTCTCCATTTAGGGGCACAGGGAGAGGCGCGATTAATTAAGAGCAGACCAGGGAGCACTTGGACAAGCCTTTAACACTCCCATCTGTAATGAAGGGAATCATTGATCTGGGAATTTGGGATATCTGGGAATAGGTTCTTTCTTTTACTCCCTCTCTCTCTCTTTCAAACCACAGAGGGATATTACCTGCACACACCAGAGCAGGGGAAAAAGAGTGTGAGAAAAAGAGAGAGAGATGAAAAATTTCCATTTCTGCTTATGCATGCAAACACACACATTCATATTCACATGCGCACACACCTTCTGAATATTATGCATGCATTTCCTCGGCTGTCTTTTCCCTCAGAACAGAGCTCCCTCTAGGGGACCAGACGTCCGTGTGTTTGACGCAGTGTTTTTTTTGAATCCTTGAAGTGTTGATACTCTGGACACATGCTGGAGAGCAGCATCTACATGCTCGACCCTTCTTTCCAATCCCGCACGGCACTTTCCTTTACTCCGAACGTCCGCCAGCACACCAGGGTGGGAAGACGCAAAGCGGGGAGACACTTTGCATGTCGTTGATCCTCCTGGGCTTGACAGGGTTGTTCTGATGGCTCTTTGATGCGGTGAATGAGACAGGCAGACCAGTAGGACAGAAAACGCGTGCTCATCTGTAGCTGCAAGTGAGCGCGGAGGAGACTTGTACTTGTTTGTTGACCTCTAAAGAAAAGCTGTGGAGAACAGATACATCAATACAACTGCCATACATATGCACAAATACAGTGCATGAGAATGTGCACATGCACACACACACAAACACGCGCAAACACACATCTCTGAGGATCTGGCCCTGTCTGCCCCCTCTAACTTGGCTGTAGAGAGTCCATCTCTCCCCGCTCCCACCCTCTTCTCCCTCTCCTCCGTGCCCTGTGCACTGACCCTGAGCGGATGAGCAGCCCGTCTGCGCTAATGCCTCGCTGTCGCGTCAAACACCAAGAAAAACTTTACTACACGAGACAGGAGAGAGGAGGCTTAGAGGGACAGAGGGAGGCTGAAAAAGGGAGAAAATCAAAGAGCGAGGGGAAATTGCATTCAGAGAAGGAGCTGAGGAGGCTAACGTAAGTGGACAGAAATTTTGAAGAGAGAGAATTGGATTATTTATATCTCATGATAGTTCTTTTTCATTGTGAGAAAATTATTATGCATGATAAACTATCACTGAAGACCAGAGGCAAGATTAGGTGAGTGCCTCTTGTTTTGAGTGTCCAACAGGTATTGGTTAGGGTTACTTAGCTATCGGGAGAAAGAAAAAACATCCATGATATTCCCATTTCTTTTACTAATAAGAACCCAAATGTGGTGTGAATTCATGTGCAGCCATCATGAGTCAATACTCAGGTGGAGAGCAGAATCAGCTTTTGCTGCCGTTTGGCAGCAGGTCTTTTGAATTTTGCGTGTACATGGTTTGAAGGTTTAGATGCAGAAGTGTCTGTGAACGTCACTTTTTAAGGATTTCCAGAGATTTCCAACCTCTGGTGTTTAGCTCTATCCATCCTACCATCAGCTCAGCTCTGACCAGCTTTCCTGTGTCTGCTGAGAAAAATCATCTGCTCAGCATGATGCTGCCACCACCACGTTTCATCTTGAGGGGGGAGTGTTGTAGTGATAAGTGATAAGTAGCACTTTATACACAGATCAAAGAGATATATGTCTTGGTCTCTGCTGACCAGAGCATCTTCTTGTACATGTCCACTGTGTCCACCTCCATGGCTTGTAACAAACTGAAAAAAGGTTTTCCGGTTTCTAGGCTTCAACGTCTTTTTTTTTCTTGCCACTCAAGTGCTTTTGACAAGTGCCACAGATAAGTTTCACCATCGGGGCTGTGGATCTCTGCAGCTCTTTCAGAGTTAACATGAATTTCTTGGCAAATTTGATGATTAATGTTTTTTGATGGGATGTTCAAAGCTTGTTGCTTAAAATAGTCTGAATTACTTTTACGCTACGTTAACTTTATAAAAAGTTTTGAACACACATGCAGCATTCTCCTTCCAGCTCTGTTATGTCTCAAGTCATCATCTTCTTTGTCTTCCACACAAAATCTCCCCAAAAAAACCACTAAAGATTGAGGTTGTGAATAGTGTAGATGATGTTTCCTTTAAACCACTAATTGTAATAGCTTTTTTCCATACCATTCTCTCTTTATGAAAGATTTTACAGCCGTTTTTGCTTATTCCTCTCTTCCCTCCTCCTGCTTCCTCTTAGTTAGTGCTGGGTAAGTGGAGGGAAAGTGAATGGGATTGATGGTGTTAGTATCTGAGCTGCTTGTGATGATGATAAATGTGTGTGTGCAGACATCAGGAGGAGGGTGCTTGTGTGTGTGTGTGTGTGTGTGTGTGTGTGTGTGTGTGTGTGTGTGTGTGTGTGTGTGTGTGTATGTGATGATGATGAATGGAGGGTGCCCTCTCCTCACACTCCCAATGTCTACGGCACGCAAACATAGAGAAATGATTTGGGGCGACACACTGTCATGTAGTCTAATGCAGTTATATATCCCATCCACCTACTGACAGAAGGAGGAGGCGGTGGAGGAAACAATAGAATAGAGAGTCGCTAAATGAATAGATGCCAGAGGATGGGAAACAAGGAAGGAAGAAGCAAACGGAAGAGACACATCTTGAATGAGCCGCTGAAAGAGCAACATCCCAATGCTGCTACAGACATTTTTGGGTCCTGTGAGTTTTTAGATTAATAGAAATTTGTAGATCTCTGCACACAATTAACTGCTAGAGAGATAAGAACGATGATGATGGCATATTGGTGACTGTAATGACACAGAGAGGAGTGAGATACTGATAAGAGGACATTTTTCTGTGTCTTAACAGGTCGAGACCTGGCCAGCACAACTCTGCCGGGCTACCCTCCTCATGTGCCCCCAACTGGACAGGGCAGCTACTCCACTCCCTCTCTCACGGGCATGGTGCCGGGTGGGTATGCACACAAACATGCAAAAAAATATCACTTGTTTTACCTAGAGTAAACAAATTCACCCCAAAAGTTACCACATGGCAAAAAAAGGTCCGGGAAATAAAATGTCCACTTACAGAGGAGCATCTACAGGTTAGGGGAGATGACAGGGTAAGAGAATCTAACAGGATGACACTGAGTAATAAACACAGGACAGTACTGGTTTGCTTTCTGGATTGGGGCAAAAATTACCAAGGCACTGACAAAACCTTAAACTTGACAAAGGTCAAACCTTAAGTCAATGTTTTACCATAAACATCCATCTATCCTCTATATCCACTTACGTGGGGTCAGGTACATATCCTGTTGCAGTCGATGAGGCTACCAAGAAGCACTTTACACCCTGAATGGGTCACCTGTCCACCCATGAGTGCACACACTGACAACAAGTTAACTCAAGGCACTCAAGGTACAGATACTGCTGTGGAAAAAAACTAATTATTATCTCAAAAACTAACAAAACATACCCAGATTAGCGATGGACTTATTCTGAAGTCCCTATTAAGAAGAGCTTCATCTATTAAAGAATAATTAACAGCATCTGGATTTTTAGGTGGGACCTTGTTGTCAAATGTGACTGGTGTTCAGTCTGGAGGCCGGCTGAATTTTTCAGACATTGCTTTTGAGCCGTAGCACACTTTCACACCACAGCTGCACAGTCGTCTTGAAATGGACCTGATTTTATTTCTTTGGATGGTCCACAACATTTAGGGAGAAGGGATAGCTGGTGCAGACCAAACAAATGCACTCTGGACTCTGAGAAATAATCAGTTTTCTTGAATCTTGCTGCCATTTGCTTATTGTTATTAAGCAAACAGCCAATCCAGCAAGAGTGTGATCTGAATACTTCTCTTTTCATCTACGTGGCTACATCAAGATGTCAAATTCTCTCTTTCCTAGCAGTCTTTTTCTGTACATAGAGTACCATGCTGGATAGTTTGCTGCCTTGCATGCTGCTCATACTGGCAAGTTTCTTCTGATATTTTGCAGTTGTTGCAATCATATGATGCTTTAAAAGGTGCAAAAAACTAAACAAATGTGCAGTATTTTTCGACATTCCCTGCCAAGTTTAACTGAGTCTGTCGGATTATCCCAGTGTGAAAACATTCGGTTTTTGCAGGGTTTGCAGTTCTCCTTTTGCAGAACGAGTTTCTACTGTACAGGAAGTACTGGTGTCATGTTGGGGATGTACTTAGTCCAAAAGCATGACGCTATAACAAGCCGCTATGTGATCCTTTACCTGGTAGTATGAAAGGCATGTTATATGTTTTAAGTTCCCAACAAAAACAAACTCAAATATTGAATCTGACTTCCTTTAAAGTGATTCTGTTATCTTACAGCAGATCCATAAACATGAGTTGAGTTTCTATAGTGTATGCATTGTGTGTGTGTGTGTGTGTGTCGGAAGAGCATACACGGGAGTGCCACTTCCTCTTCCTTTTCTGTCTGCCGTGGCTGACAGTGGTCCCGGAGGGTGGCATTTGTGCTCGTATACCTGTGTAAGCTGTGTGTTGGAGGCTCTATATGTGTGTGTTTTTCTCTGTGTATCATTAGAAAGCAGCCACAGTAGCACAGCTGTCCCTCCTCAACATTAGTAATTTGTTTTTAATGAGAATCGCCAGTGACCCACGACTAATTCATTCATTCCCTTCCACTCCGCCTTCCACTGCACTTTTGTGTTTCAATCCTGGAACGCTGTTCTTCTTCTCTCTTTTCTCGACACTCACACCAGGAGCGGTGGTGTGAGTGGTCCACAGCAGTTAAAGATACTGCTGTGGAAATATGGAAACACAAGGCCCAAAACAATGTTGTTTGCACGCTGTTGTCTCTGTGTATTCCCAGCCATTCACACACACACACATACACACATATCCATGAATTGATGTACACACTGAGTCTCAGTGGACATGTAGGAACAGCACGTCTAAAGATGGGTAACCCTGTCGCCCTGTCCCACTGTGCTGTCCTCGGCTTTGACAGGATATTTGAGTGTGTGTTTGGGCTGGTGCGTGCCGTTGTTTGTGTGTTTGTTTTTGACAGTGTCTGTGTGTGCGACCTTGACACCGAGCTACACCAGGGAGACCCCTGAGCTTTCTTCCCTACTCCTCTCTACCCTCCGTCTCGCGTCTGCTAAACAACCTGACACATCGCCGTCACCGCGGCGATGACAAGGGAGAGGATGTTCGCGCCCGGGGGTGCCATGGAGACCACATCCTGAGACCCCCACCTGACAGACGCAACTAAATGTACACTCGCAAAAAGGAAAACGTGCGCGCACGAAAACACACAGCTAACGTCGCCGTTGAAGTTTCTCTTCAGTGAATTTTTAAAAGCCGACTCCATGAGCTGGCTAGAAGTGTTGAAAGAGATAATCTAGAAACTTTGACTTGCCAGCTTTGCTTTATCTCAGCACTCCTCTGCCAAATTATCCTCCTTTTTGTTCACTCTGTCTAATATCATACCTTCATTAAGCAAGCAACTCTCTTCTGCTGTTCCCCTTCCCACTCCGTCTCTCTGTCTCCTTCTCTCTGCAGCAGGGGTGCTGACACTCGGAGGGGGTGTAGGAAAGCACTGAGGCAGAACCGACAGAACGAGAGGCAGGGAAGAGGAATGGGTTGGAGGGGGTGAGAGGGAGGCAGAACGGAGGGAGGGGGCATCAGGGTCTGTGACTGTCAGCTATGGGAGAGGGATCCCCTGGGAGGAGGGATGGTTCAGGAGGGAAAAAAAAATAAAAGAAAGAGCAAAAGACTGAGAAAAGGAGAGTAAGTCAACAGAGAAATGGGGGGAAGAAGTAGAGGAGAATGTTGTTTTGATGTGAAGGGTGACGGGTGGTCTGTACTCAGGCGGACCAGAGGAGAAAGGAGAAAAATAAAGATAAAAGATTGGAAGGAGGCGAGGGAGGAGAAGACATGAGGAAGAGTAGACCCCAGACAGTGAGTAGTAAATGAGGGAGAAAAGCTAACCTATCATCCACTGGGTGGAAGGACCGCTGCAGTCTGACTGAGCTCTCCAACTCAGACACATTCAACTAGTCTGAGTGTGTTAGGAAGACGGGATAGAGGTTCATGTTCAGTGTGTATGAGAAATAACTAAACTAAACAAAAATATAAAAAAGTCAGGATGAGCTATAAACCATAATAAGCAAATAACCTAAACATAAGTGTGAAATTAAAACTTAGCTAAAATAGTTTAAACTAAATTGGTTAAACTAATTTAAACTAATAAAAAAATACCTTAAACTACATGATGTATTAAACTAAAACAGGCTAAACCAGTATAACATAAGATAAAATAATTAAACCAAGCTAAGTTAAAGACGTGGAACACTGTAGTTATTGTGTTCAGTTCCTTGTTGTTTCTCAACATACTGTGTTTTCTGTTTTGTGCTTTCTTTCAGGGGGAGATTTTTCTGGAAGTCCATATTCCCACCCACAGTATTCCACGTACAATGAATCATGGAGATTTCCAAACCCTAGCCTATTAGGTTGGTATATCACAAATATTTATATGCAAATATGAATAAATGTGCTACTGAATGTCATTTAATTTTGCCAAAACCCTTGTTCCGATGGCTATATAGCTTCCCTTTACTGTCTCTTACACTGAAGTGGATTGTAAAAATCTTTCGCAATATTCTTCATATACAAGGATGAAGAGAAGAGAAGTGAGGAACTGGGGACAGCAGGTTATAGAAAGTGGGTTTTATGATAGAATTGTAAACTGAATTTGTAATCAAAAAAGCTGCCGAGAGGCCGCTGGTGATTCAGAAGTATCTGTAGAGATCTGGTCTCAGGTGGTGAAGTCTGTAAACAATTGTCATAAGAAATCCTGAAGAAGTCCCCTTTGCAGTTTGCAACAAGTCATGCAGGTGACACAGCGAACATATGGAAGAAGTTGATCTGCTTGGATGAGACCAAACTAGAGCAATGTGTGGTAGAAAACTTAAAACACACATCAGCCTGAGCAAACCATCCACACGGTTAAGACGACGAAGACATGCAGAGTCCTTCCCACCTTCTCCTTTCCTCTCATCAATTTTCCTGCTTCCCTCCATCCCTCTGCAGTGTTTCAGCAGGACTATGGGTCTCTCCTGGGGACGGAGATCGGCTGCTCGTCCAGTCTCTTCACCAGTCAGGCAGGACAAATGCAAGGTAGGTGGAAAGAGAGGGAGTAAAAGAGAAAAGTCACTTCATAAGCAAGCAGTTGATGAGAAGCAAATTCAGTGGAGTAAACCAATGGAAGAATGTGTGGAGAACGAGAGATTCAGGTTTGGAGACGCCAAAGCTGGAGAAAAAGAACGAAATGCCAAATGAGTAAATCTCCTGTTTTAAAAGTAAAACCAGGGGAGAGGGTTTCTAAAATCTAGAGTGGGACTAAAGAGTTTGTCAGTTCGACTTAATGCCTCACTTCCCCAAAGACGCTCCCGAGATTACCTGTGGACAGACACAACCTGTCGGCGTTCAGCTGCTCTGATTGATGGAAGGGACAGAGACAGGTGTGTGTATTAAGGTGAGAGGGAGAGGGTTTCTGTGTGTGCTCTTGGGGTTATGGTATTGAATTGACCTCCTCCCTGGAGAGAGAATAGACTCAAGGGATCAGTGGTGGTAGAGCTGTACTTGGCGTGTCAACTTGGACTGTCACTTGGACGGTGAGAGGAGTATCTCTGTGAGGGGGGGGGCGTGGGGGGAGCCGCCGAGAGAGAAAGAAAGTCAAGCCCAATCTATTGGTTATACGTGAAAGAGAGACTATTTTTTTCTGCCATTAGCCTCATCAGCTCATGTCATCTCTTGCCTGCCTTTCACTGCTCCGCTCCGCGCTGAAATATAATCTTAGCAGAAAATTGAAGCCACTCATTTCACATTTACTCTGCATTTAAAAAGAGAATTCAGATTTATTACAGAGCGAGTCATATTTTTGTCATTTTAACCATCATTCCTATCTGTAATAGAAATGACTCTGTCCAACGTAATTACTGAGATTCATGAGCATGATGACATTGTGACCGAAGTCCGGGGTGGGGGGGAGAAATGAGCTGGAGATGGTGAAAAAAGGTTTAAGGTATTACAATATATATGTTTTCTTGTAAAATTCTTGATTTATGACCATAATTTAAATCAGAATTATTGTAACAAACATCATAAAAGTATAAAACAATCCCAGTATCTGCACTTAGTTTGGAGACATGTAGCACGCCTTCATTTCCTGTTTTGATGCAGTGGATGTTAATAAAGCTCCTTTGTTTCTCTGCAGTCATTTGCGGTAAAAGGAGGCAATGGTTCAGCATTAGCCACTCTTGAAATAAAGATGAATTCAACAACTAAAAGTAAATTAATCTTTCTGAAGAATTAGAAGAATTTATTCTAAATACATTCATTCAGTTGGAGGAAAAATTCCACTTGAAGAGAAATTATTTTTAAAAAAATTAAATGAAATAGGACAACATCTCTTCTAAATGCCCTGGAAAGCTTGACTAAGTGTACAGCATTGTCAAGTCTTTGAAATACAGGGATCTGTTAATAATAAAGATCTGTTAATAATAATACCTTTGCACTGAACAAGAGATCTTTCAGCAAGACAAGTTATTTAAAACACAGGGGCAAATTAAAAATGATTCTTTTTTGTTTTACATTATAAGTTACATGCAGTTTGAGGATTTTGTCAGTAGATGTCACTATATCTACTGACAAACCGATTACTAATAGGTAAGAAAAAAAGATAAATTATGAAAATAAATTACTTTTTTGCTTTTTGATCAGTATAAATTCATAGTAAAAAAGTGAATACACCCCATTTAAATTGTATTATTTTGTTTAATAATGTCTTTGTAGAATCTGTTGTGAAGACCAGATCAGTTATTCAATAAAAATCTTAGAACTGACATATAATTGAGGCTTAATTTTCTTTTTACTATGCTTAACTTTTTACACTGCCAAAGTACGACCTTGTTTTTCTCTTTACTGATATTTGTGAATTGCTGCTGAGTCAAAAAATAAATTTGTGCTTCATTTCTTTATTTTGAACCCACACTTTGCCACTTCATCCCAGCCTCCTTTCCTTTTATACCCAGAAACAACCATTTTGTACCAGTTCATTTCTATTGGTAGTCAAATGTTCTGACGTCTTGAGGAGGTAAATAATGATAAAAATTCTTAAATTTCACACTTAATCTTATTTTATTGTATATATCTTATATTTTAGCTTCTGAAAAAAGTATTGTGGTTCTCATTCCTTTTTATGCAAGACAGATCTTGTGTAAAGTGCATGAAAAACGATAAAAATCTGCACGAAAATGGCGAAGAAGCAAATTGAACAGCATTTGTTGCGAATATATACAAATTTAAAAAGAGAAAATTGGTTCATCTGCATTGCAAAACAACACACTGTATCCTGAAGAAGCATTTTACGTTAATTACAAATATCTGTATATTATATCAAACTTTGAATGAAATATTATGTAGTTTCTTCTTAAATTTTGAATTATTCATGTTTCAGACAGTTGAAAGAAATGTAACGTCTGTGTTTCTGTGCAGGATCACCGTATTATTACAGTGCAACGTCACGGGGAGCAGGCCCTGCTGCCACTGCAACAGCCTCCGCCTACGATCGCCACTGACCCCTCCAGAAAGAAGAGAAGGGTGGAGAGCAGGAAGACCAGGGAGGAATAAATGGATAGCACCAGCACCGTTCAGTAAAAACCTGCCTGTATGAGAAAGGACTGAGGCAAGAAGGAGTTTTTCAGATCTTTTGACATCAGTGATGTTTGCTTTTCATTTGATTCCAAACCAACAAACACACACCTTGGCTTCAAAACAATACTGCCTGGTTGTACATTACTGTACAAATACAGAAAACATTTTATTAAATGTACCATCACAAATTTGGACCCTCCTACATTATGTTCAGACTTTTTTTTTTCCATTCATGAAACCCAAGAAGTTAAGCTAGTTGTTTTGCTTCGAGACTGCTATATATTTGAACAAATCAGAGCAAATCCCTTCTTAGACAGTACTTTTTATGACTTGACATCAATCAATTTTCTATGCCATGCTGCAGTGGAGTGAAGACAATCCAATCCTCATAAATCTGAAAGACCAAAATCCTCCATGAGTTTATTCTACTTTGTTTTCTGTGGCTTCAACACAACTGATCTAGAAACACAATGTTAAATGAGTAACATCTTTTTATGGCAGAAGTTTGCCATCCCTCTATCTCTACTTTTTATTTTAATTGAGCCTTTTATACCAGCTGAGCACAAGGAAGTGTGTGGCAATAGTATTTATACCCTTTTCTGTTACGTTACAACCACAAACCGTGAAGGAAAAGAAAATTACTTTTTTTTTTTTTTTTTACTGATAAGCATCCTCATAGGTTGTAATGTAAAAAAAAAAAAAACTAAAAAGTTCAAGGGGTATCAATACTTTGCCCTGTAAAGAAAGTTTGGCCAGGAGGCTGGAGTTAGTGTCCCAAAGTGGCATTTTTTTAGCTTTCTGGTTGTAAGACTCAGTAAAAACGTATCAAATGTGCAGCCTGATTAGCTCATCATCACCTATAGTCACTGTTTAATGGTGGGGTTTGGCAGACATCAGCACTATTACGTAATAAAACCTGCATCCTCACAACATGGTTATATTTAGAGAACTGGCCGACCGATGCCAAAGATGGCAAGCACTCACTTGCTTGGAAATGGTTTGACTGGTAAACCAGAAGCATTTCTTAGCTTCCCCACATCATGTGCACAACAGCATTTTCGTACACCGAACGTGCAGACAGGTTAGAATCAAACTTGCTTGTGAAGGCACTGCAGAGATCTTAATAGATTCAAAACCTAAAGTTTTAATAACCTCTGACCTCTTTCTTTTCCTGACATAAATGCCAATGTTTTACCCAGTTTTGACCTGGCCGAAAGGAGAATGCTGAGAGATTGTTTTATTGTTTGCAATATTTCAGATAACCAGGTGAAAAATTAGTCTGTTTTTTAAGTTTCAGGCTGTCTCATTTTATCCATGCCTTCAGATCCATGCTTGAATTTAAGTGGCGCAAATGACATCAGACAGCTACAGTGTTTACCCTTTACAGATGTCTTCTGCTTCTTTCTTTATAAACGACAAATGTATTTATTGAGGAGAAGAAAGCCATCAAAACCAGCTTCGCAATTTAATTTAACCCCCGTTTAATTTTACATTCACTGTGATGTAACAAATTGGTTTTGGTTCAGTTTAATCAGCCAAATCTCTGGACCTGTAAAATCAGGAAATCGGGCATTCTCCAATCACACCTCAATGTAAAGCAAAAGTAACAGATAAGAGACAAAGTTATTGACAACTCTCAGTCTGACCAGAGCCACAACACAATTTTATAAGTCTTTCGGACAGTTGACAAATTCAGAAAACATCCAACACTTATGAACTTTCGCAGGAGTGGACAGCCTTCTAAAATTACTCACACGTTCATCCATAACCATAAGGTCCCCCCAAAAAACCAGAACAATTTCTGCAGACCTGGCTTGCCTCAGTAAGAGTCAGTGGCGAAATTGTAATAAAAAAAAAAAAAAAACCCAAAGGCCGGCGAGGCATCTTGATTTTTCCTGGGAATTTAGGGAAACATTTTCTGGACTGGTTTGAAGAAAAGTGGAAACTGTCTCTGAGGATTTCTGTGTCTGTACTTAAATCAGATGAGAAAATGTTTGATGATATGAAACATTAAGGTGTGACACCATAGCAGAAGCATAAGACATCTGCAAAGAGGCAAATATTTTCTCATAGCACTATACATGAATTTCAATAAAGCACAACCTAAAATCTGAGCCCTCCACTATATGAACTGTTCAAAGAAACCAAAAGCTTTTCCACCTATTGTTGTCACTGTACATTAAGGTGCTATCCTACCTCCCCAGCAAAGATTTTGTAGTCCTGTTCAAGAGCTATTTATCATGGAGGAGACACAGAGTAATATATTCAGAGGTTTTTCTGCGCTGCACTCCTAGGGGAGAGTAAACACTTGTGATTTATGATCGTGTCATGTGCTAGAATAGTGATAATATGATGTGGATGACGATGCAGTTAATAATGAAATCTGAAAAACCTTCAGTACAATAAGAAGTCTCTGTTTATAAATGTGATCAAACTGAGATTTTCCTGTTTATAGTTTGTTGCCTGGCACCAATCGACAGAGGTGTCTCCTGCAAATGTTCGGATCAAGAACCAGAAATCAACCCTTGTTTTCTCTCTCTCTGGTTCTCCTGTGCTGTCGATTACTTTTTTTTTTTAAACTCCCCAAAGACGGCTCCCCCTTGTGGATTGGCTGACAAAAGCACAAAGAGACTCAAATCACTGTTTTTATCGAGTTCTTCTCCCCTTCTTTCTGACTGCTTGTGTTGTTTGAGATACTGAAAGAACTCCTATAAAGCTTTGTTTTTATGAAAAAATCCGTGAAAGGTTTCTCCTTTTCTTTCAAGTTGACTTTGCTTTATTCCCTACATCACTTCTGCGCTGCGACAATTGCTTGACACCAGGGTTGAGGCCTTACCCATCACGTTTAGAATAGGATAGACTTGCCTTCTGGCGTTGATCTGAAATCAGTGTGTTGTTCTTCACACATGTCAGAGGGTGAGGGCAACATCTTCCTTGTTCGCAAGATTTAAAGAAATCAGTGAAACAGAAAACCATTTTATTTATTCCCGTTCAAATTTCAGAGTACAAGTTTTACTCATGAAAACAGCAAACAGCTGAAAGCCACTCGCTGTGGTTTCAGCTGTTATCTGCAAGTGTTTACAAAATCCTTGGTTTCCTTTCTTTATCATGGTTGGCTCGCTATAGTTCATCATTGCTGCTGTGCAGTTTTAGTAAACACCAAATCTGCAGTGGGGAACAAAATAGAGGTTTACGAACCTCTGCTAAGCAAGATCATTTTAAAATTGTACCCTTTCTTTGATCTTTTTGTTTTAAATAGTATTAGATTTGATCATTTTACATTTGTAAAAGTTCTGAATCTACATCGCTAAAGAAGAGTTCTGTGGCAGCGGACTAGCTGACCTGCTGGCCCACCTCTCAGCTATTGGCTTTCCTTTTTTCTGTCTTTTTCTCTCAGTTCTTCTGAGGCATTACTGAACCACACCAGCTGAAAACAAGGACAGTGCCTTTGGTTTTATATATGTCGACATCCCCCTTACTGAACGTGAGACGCTAAAACTAAAATTGGCCTCACCGTCTCTTATATCTATTAAAATACTCTTGACATCTGCATTTGTAAATTCAAACAAACCTCTTGACAGTGGCATAAAGCTTCACCTTCCACGCCTACAACTGATCTACCACAGTCTGAGTCCTAGATGAGGGAAATGAATGTGTGTTTTCAATCACAGACCTGCTAAACGTCATTCTCTTTTACCATCTCTAGAAATACATGGCAGCGTATTGCTCAGAAAAATTTTAATTGCTTATTTGTCAGTATTTTAACCGCTTTCACTCCTGACTTAAAACTTAATGTTCCCTTGTCTGTTTTGATAAAGTTGCCAAGATGTGCACTTTTGTAAACATCAGGCAGCTGTCTTGATGTAGACCTGAGAGCAGATCAATCAGTGAATCAATAGCTGTATCAGCTGCACTCCACTTACTTTTACACTAGAACATTCAGAAGCTGTCAATGTAGCCCACAAAGATGAAGTTATCTCATATTAAATGCCTTTTTTTATATATCTTAACAGCTTAAAGAAATATTTAAGTCAGCTAAAATCATTACTAGCAAAACTCTAATTTCTTCAGATGTCAATCAGCATCAAATCACTTCACAAAAAGTCTGTCATCTTAATGATCCTAATGAAAACAATCAGAAACTGTGAACAAGCCTTTAACATTCAACCCAGACTGTTTCAAATGAAATATTTATGTATTGTATGTAAAATGAGGGCAGGTCACCCCAAATACTGTAGAATGCTGTCTTGCAAGAGGAGAACAAGTACTAATATCGTGTGCAGATTTGTACAATGGCGCAGGAACACAATGTAAACTTATCAAGAGTTATAATATTTCTATGAATATTTCCTTATAGACAGAGGGTTTGACCTGAATCTGTGACTGAAATGTTCACATTCAAGAAATGCTGAATAAAACATTAGAAATGGATGCCACACAGGTAAAAACACCCGCTTCTTTTCAGATACAAATCTAACCCACACAAAAGATACAACCCAGCCAGTTAATCAAAAAATATTTACATTCACACGTTTATGGGGCGACGGCTTCAAACAAGCTAAACTTGGCGCCTGTTTCCTTTTGCGTTAACAGGATTATTTGTTAACTCTGCGTCTCGTAGTGAAACAGCGTCTCCTGCCACAGCTTTGACCCAACGGGTTCACATGGGGAGAGAAAGGATCGTCTCTGACCAGCAGTGGTTTCGATTTGCAGCTGTGACATTGACTGGGAGACTTGTCATTGCGGGTGGTAGTGACTGTAGAAAGCGTGGCGGGCAGAGGCCACACACACGCACGCACACATGCTTATAGAAATATTAGTATAGACGCACTCTCTCCCTCCCTTTGTCCTCTGCAAAGTGGTGATCGCCCCTCCTCTTGTTCCCCTGCGTTCCCCAGGTGAGCCCAAACCTGCTGTGCCATCACAAGCTCGTCCCGTTTCTCCTCTCCCTGCCCCCCCCCTCCCCCCCGAATTCCTCGGCCCTAATCTCATCATATCTCATGCGCTCATCTTCCTCACTTCACTTCTCTGCTGTCCTCCTGTAGGACTGCCACACCACCAGGATAAGGTATCACAGAACTGTGTGGTGATTTCAAGCATGCCAGCTTTCTTAAAAAGCTCTCCTTGTTTCATCAGACAGCTCTGTTAAAAATCTGAGCAATCTTTTAGATCAGATCTTCCCCCTTGCAGTGCTATAAAAAATAATTTCCTCCTTTACAGATTTCCTGTTTCTGCTTTTCATTTATTTATTTTTTGACGTATTTATATTTCAGATCATAAAAAGATGACGTTAATTAAAACAAAAAGTAGTTTAATAATTAATGGAGGGAAAAAAGCAATCCAAAATGGCAAAACCTCAGAACTGGTTTCACCATACCTTCAAGCGTTTGGGATATCTGCCACTGAGTTTTTTACATCTCAGTGGAGGAAGCATAGCCCACTAATCTCTGTTCTAATTAAGCCCCATTGGTGGGTTTTCCAACATAAACACATTGTTAAAGTACGCACCACTTCATGCTGACTAGACTCTTTGGCAAGTAAAGTTTGCTTGGATAGAAGTTTGCTTTTGGGGTTCTTTTAGCCGACTTCCTGTTGGCTTTCAGGTTCTGTTTAAGCATTTGAGCTTGGCTAGTGAAAGGACAAAAAATGTGGCTAAAACAATTAACTTGTGATTTAACAAAAACTTCTTTTTATTTTTATTCAAGTTATGTTTGTATAAAAAATTCTTGAAATATTTAAGTGTGACGAAAAAGCAAAAGCAGTCTAAATCTGTAAGGGGTCTAATACTTTTTTACATCTCTGTAAGAGGGTTAAAAAAAAAAAACATTCAAAACCTGCTTCAGATCAAACAAAAATACTTCTCCAGCCCTGAATTCAGTCTTCTCTAAAATAGATAACATCCGTTATTTTGAATCCAGCTCCAAGTCAAATCAGAGGCAGAAATAAATGCAAATCAGGTTGTTTTTTTTTTGTTTTTTTTAAATTATGATTTTCCACCAAGTGTGCACTGCTCGACTGTATCTCAATATGAATCCCAAACCAGAGGGGAATTCAGCATCACATCTTGACAGCAATTAGTGGCACAATCTGTTCCATGCTTGCTGATATAACTAGGCTTCAGACAGATCTCACACTGAAGCGTTACAGAGTTCCCTACATCTTTATATTATTCAACTGTGGAAGAGAACTAATGCGCACGAATCAGCCTACAAAAACCTGACTTAAGCAGCTGTTTCAATCAAGAAAAGAAATAGATACATGAGTTCTCACCTTACTGTGGCCTTTTGTGTAACAATCTGGAGTTGTTTTAATATTATGTTGATTTTGTGTGTATGCTTGTGTGCGTGTGTGTGTGTGTGTGTGTGTCCATGGCTTCCTATTTAGGCTGTTGAGGAGATATTTCTATCTGTGTTTTTGGCTAAAAATAATAATAAAAAAAGTATGAACAAGAAACACAGGAATACAGAAATACATTGTGATGCAAAGACAAGGAATAAATTTGGTTTCAATATTTTCCTTTCTTCAAAATACAAACACAACTAAAAGAAAACATATCCGTTAACATTCACCAAAGCCTGTGATGCCTGTTTTAAATATTCGATTCTTGTACAAAAACATAAGAAAGGGCAGAAAAGACTTACAGATACATAAAATGAAGTATTGCCTTTGAATATTCTGGAGGGGATGGTTTGAAAAAAAAGTGAAATGCTTCTTTATGAAAATGTGTATGTTTTTTATTCAATTTTCTAGTAGTTGCAAACAAATCTTGGTGTTTTTTCTCTCTGTGTGTCGTGTGTTGTCTTAATATTTGAATGTATTTTACTGCAGTGCGACTTTGCCAAAGATATCATATCACTTGATTTCTCTTCAACAACCCTCGTTTTACTTTTTGCCCCCGACTAGTAATTGGTTTTATCCCGAAAGCCGGAAATAAATGGTGACTTTGTTAAAAGGCTTATGTTTTCTATTTTCATGGTTATATTATGGTTATTTAAGTTCCTGGCTTTGATTTTTACTGTGAAATTTTGAATTACAGTCTGCTTGATGCATCTCTTCATACTCAGTCTGTGTACCTGTCCATCTGTCCACCAGAGTGACTGTTTGTTGGTGAATTATTCCATTTATGTATCAGTAATGTGAAACTGAGAAGTAACTATTTGTAAATATTTGCCATAATTTTATTGGTCCTTCAGAATAAAAATAATTTTTTGGAAGTTAAATGCTCTGAGAGAGTTATTTGATCAACATTTAGGCGTTTACTTAAATGTTGGTTCTTTTCTTTGCAACACACAAAAGTGAACAGTTGATCTCTTTCCCTCCTTTTTGTCACCTCACAAATCAGAGTGAGTTTAGCCTCCCGGTGCTGCAGTCTTGGCTGTTGGCCGAGTCTTTGAGAGGCGGTGTGTGTGTGTGTGTGTGTGTGTCTGTGCTTCGGAGAGAAGGAAGTGGGAGAGGGGTGATAATAGGACACAAGCCACGACATGGCAACAACACGCCGCACACACAGAAAACAGCACATCCCCAGCTTGAGACATAGGCGCTGCTCTCCGCAGATTGGGTGTCTGCCCAGATCACTGAAACAGAAACAACTCCTGTGTGTGTGTGTGTGTGTGTGTGACTTTACTTTGGTTCTTTGCCAACAAACGGATGCCCTGTAAAAGTGTGGAAGAATGCATCACAGGGTGGAGGATTAACACTGAAGACGACCTTTTAACTTTATCCGTATTCCAACCATCAAGGTTACAACAACCAGGAAAAAAGACAAAACAAAAAGCTTAATAGTCCTTGTTGTTGTCTCTGGCATATATGTGGTTCGTTTTTGTCATCTTTTACAACAGCAATCAATACTTGGGAAGCTCCAAACAAATAAAATGTTCTTAAGCTCATCTTAAGTTGTTAAGTAATGATTTCATTCTGAATTTGTTTTTATGGGGGTGGGGGGTTCATCAAGAGGAAAAAAGCAACAATGTGGGAGGTTGTGTGTTTGTTTTTTTTAACTATATTTGAACAGACAGAAATGTTATAGCAATATTGACAATATCACTGAATTCAACTATTGCAATTGAGCAATACAAACTGAAGAAACTGTCTTCTAAAATAGCTAATCTTACAGGCATATCAGATCAGGAGCACAGGATTCTAACATCTTCAATTCAAAGAAAGTTTAGTCTGTTTAAACCTCACACATTTAGTTCAGCGACGCGGTGAAGAGTGTCAGCTCCTCTTATCCTCCTGCTGATGACCAGAACAGGTTCAACTTCGGGCTCTGCCCTGTGAGCCATCAGTTGCAGGTCCAGATCTCCGGCTTGCCCTCCAGTGGAGACCAGCAGCTCCTGAACAGAGAGAAGAATGACCACGCCTCAACAATGCAGATTCCTGACAAAAGAAAGACAGAGGCTTCAGAGACGGGTAGATTGCTACAAAAAGATTCTCAGTGAAATTATTTAATTCTAGCTACCAGTGGAACAGGTTTCGTAATTTTACTCTGTCTGGAACATGATATTTTTTTTATGAAAATGCTTTGAGTAGAACAAAGATTAGAAATGTAAAACTAAGATTTTAAAGAATTATAGTAAGAAAAGGATGCTTTCCCTTTATGTCTCAACCTAAAGTTGTCATCGTCTGCAGGAGTTTATCACTTAAATCATAGTGGAAGAATGTGATGCTGTTCTTATTGATACCATTGCTTTAGTTCATGAAGGTTTTCAGACATTTGTTTATGTTCAGCTCTCTGTATTTTCTATAGAAACATTACAATCAACCTGCAGCCTGAGCCATGACATTATTTTCATTTTCAACCTTTCTGTTGCAGATGCCCATGTTTTTTAGAGAGAATCGTCCTCAGTGGTTTGTCCAAATATTCACAAACAATGTCAGTGTGAGCTGGTGTATCATTTGTCATATAAATCGTCTCACTAATTTGGAACTTGTTTAAAGCAGTAGGACACCCTCTGCTCTCTGTGCGCTCCTGTTGTAGGTTCAGATTACATAACAGCTAACACCTTTTACCTCTTCTCCTCCTTTCATCTCCCCCCTCACACGGCTTCCCATGAAACAGCCAAAGACAGACAACAGCGGTACTTATGGAGGCCAAGAAGTCATGCAAATTAACGTCAGTCAGCGTCTGTATATTTTGGCCCTCCTGAGCCCCTGTAGAGAGGAGGTGCGGGTCCAACTCAGTATAATTGGGCTTCAGATGATTAGCGAAGAGGACCTCATGCAGGAGAGAAAATGGGAAGAGATGCTGAAGATGTATTAGAAAAAGAGATATAAATTAAGCAGGAGGCAAAGCAGAAAGAATCCGACAAATAACTGAGAGGAAAAGGAACAAAGAGTGAAATGAGACGACATATTCATGACTTTCTTTGCATTTGCAGTTCTGCAAACTCTTTGCTTTCTTTTCCTACTTAACACTTTGGATGTTCAACCAAACTAAATAAATTACAGGATTTTGATAATCAGTTTTATGATGGGTATAATTTTCATGTGTTTTCTTCATTCTATAATCATGGTGCTCATTTTTTTTTTTTTTTTTTCAGATCTCTGACACACATAAAGCAAAAGAAATCTGTTCTGACCTTTTCACAGAAGGCCTTTGAACCTCCCACAATGAACCTCTACATGTTTCTCATTGTCCTTTCCGTCACAATCCGTGTTCATGATCACTCTGTCTTACACAATTCACAGAGCTACAAAACAGTTGTACTAATGAGCAGGGCATGATCAAAGAGCTTGTGTTGAGGGTCTCTGAGCAGTCTGAAGTGACGACACGGGTTTCCATGTTTTTGCTGCTCGGCCCATCACTCAAAGCCCATCACTCACAGATATTGCATGCTACAAATGTCAGATCTTGGTTTGTGTGTATGTATGTGTGTGTGAATGGATGTCGGACCATTGACAGGCATGGAAGCAGCTTGTTGAACTAATAGCCTAACTAATGTGTCGACATTCCCCCTCCTCCTCCACCCTCAACAAAAAAACTGACATCGCTACTGTATGCTGAAAGACGAGGGAGGGAGGAGGAGAGGGATGAAACGGGAGAAAAAAGAGGATGGAAGTGGCTTGACAAGCGGCAGACCCCATCGCCCTCTGGTCTGACTCTGTCTATCTCCCCTTTGCTCCCAAAGGGTTTGTCTCTAAGGATAGTGCTATGATGAATAGGCCTGTCTAGGCTAACACAGAGGAGACCAATTAGAGAAAGAAAGAAGAAAAAGAGGAAGAACAGAAAAACAAGGAGAGAAACTGAAGCAAGGCTAGGAGACTGAACGGGAAAAAAGAGGAAGCAGACACATGGAGGAGATGGGATTCAGGAGAGCTTAACACACTGTATGCTGGGAGAATTGCTGCCCATGTGTCCGGAGGCCTCGGTGGGAGAGCTGTCAGAGCTGAGGGAGTAGATGGGTGAGAGAGTCCAGCCTCCTAAGTCTTAACCTCCTTTGTCTCTGCAAGAGAGTCTCTGACAGCACAGATGCACAAGAAGGACCGTTCATTGATGTTCTCAGTTTCTTCTCCCTCCCTCCTTCATTCCACCTTTTACATAAAGACTTAGAAAACAACTGCTATAACTCACAATTAACTAAGACTCCTAGCTCAACAAATAACTTTGTTTTATTACTTTCATTGTGAAGAGGAAAAAAAGAAATGGTAATAAACCTTCTGAAAAATTAAACAAAATATCTGCTGAAAGCTTCTTATTTGATTGGGAAAACAGTATTTGAATCGTTCTTGGTTGACCCCTCCCCTGAAGCCATCTTTGCCATTAGAAACCATTAGGTCTCTAATGGCAAAAATTAAAACAAAATACGATAAAATAAGATAATAATAGCCATCAGGATCACTGGAGTACTCAAACCCCTCCACCACGTTAAGGTGACGATTCCCCGGAGGGGTCCTCGGCGAACCCCATCAAATTAGTCATAAACCAATTTGATGACATCCCCCATCCTGAGCAAGCACATGGCGACAGTGGAGAGGAAATCTCAGTTTGAGCTGACAGAAACCTCCAGCAGAACCAGACTCAGGACGGGCAGCCGTCTGCCTCGACTGGCCGAAGAAAAAGATGATAGAAAAGAGACACAAACACAAAGCCTAGGTCCTGCGGAAACACAAAACACAAAGTTAGCAACAATATTGATATATGATGGGTGTGTAAGTGACAAGATGCAAAATTGAACTCAATTATGCATGATAAGGATAGGAAGAAATCCAGCAGCAGAGCAGCACACTGTGGAGGCCAGGAGGCGTGAAGAGAGGGATGGCAAGGAAGAAATAGCCAGCTCCAGATCCACAGCACCATAACCTGTACATAGACAAAACAAAAAACACAAACACAGGACAACAAACACAACCCAGGCAACACCCTCCAGGACCCAGAATTATTAACAACCGGAGTAGACAAACAACCATGCCAGAACCAGGCCAAATCCCCCAACCAAGACAACAAGCCACAAGAGCCCACACACCCATAGACAGAGCCCAATGGAAGCCCCGCCCCTCCACACCTCCTCCCTTCCACCCTTCCGCTCCTCGGCTGCTCCACTCCTCCAGACGCTCCACCGTTCCGCCCCTCCGCCCTTCCACCCCTCCACCCTTCCGCAACTCCACCCTTCCGCA